ATCTTCATCAGACGTTTCAACTTCAGCTTTAGATTTCTTTTTAACACTCACCACGTTCCGAATAGTTTGTTTGCTTTTCTGCAACTCATCTTTTCGTCGTTTTTTATTAAAAAATTGTTCAATTTGTCTTATCGGAGTGTCGGTCAAAATTCGGCTTTTAGTTTTCTTCTTTTGTTTCTTCTTCAGCGGATGTAAATATTGAAGCGTCTTTACTTGCGGAAAGAATTGATTGTTCCGCTGATACATTGAGGTATCTTACAGGAGACATCTCTGCAACTGCAACTCTAGTATCCTCTCGAACGGTTACTGATAAGGAAAGATATTCAGCATCTTCAAAAATGTTTTCATTTAGGTGCCAAAGTCCTGCCACCTTAATTAGGTGGCAGGAATTGGCCAGGTAGGATATTTTTGGCGTAAATGCCATGGATATTCTTTTCTGCCAATTCAGCGACTTTATATATAGTCATTATTTGCCCTAAGTGGTTTAAAAGCCATTCATCACAAGCAGTAAATATTATAATATATGTTTGTAATGCCCAAAAATGGTGCGTTCCAAAGGTTGGAGTTTGTGACTCGTATGGGGTAGCAAAATTATCCTATTATTTTTGGCTAATGTTACTGCTTCAATAGAACAATGGCTTTCGTGGTTATCCAATATAAATAGCTTTTTGTTTTCAGCGCTTGGTCTTTCCTTATCAATAAATTTGACCATCCAGTTATATGAGCAGATCCGATTGAATCTGTTGGCGCACCACTCATCATGTACGGTTTGAATTTGACCCTAGGAAATATAAACATAAGCGTTACACTATTTCCCAAAGCGTTAATGCAGACTATCATTGTTATGTTTGAGCCCCTTTCGCCAGATCAAGCAGCACCTGCTTGTTTTTTGGCTCCTAGGTGCAATTATCTTTGTAGTGTTTTAAACGGAGCAATTTCCCGTTTCGTCCATGTTGAAAACGTCTGCTGCAGTAAATTTGTATTTCATAATAAGCTTCTTCAAATTTGTAAAAAAACTTCCAACATTATGTCTGTTAAAGCTCGTAGCCCTAGAAACGCTAGTTGCCTCGGGTTGATGTCTTTTCATAAACTCACGGAACCACTGCTTTCCAGTTTTTTCATTTGTTCTCCAATATTAAGGAATATTTTTGTTTTGTATATTTAATTTGGCAAAAACATACGCTAACGATCTAACCTAGTTTCTGTGAAGACAATAATGCATTTTTACTGAAACAGTGAGATATTTTACGAAACTTGCTTCCTCTATCGGAGTACAGACTGCTTTTACCGTACAATTGTTATAGGGCTTATAATCTTGAAGTTCGTTTTTATCGAATTTAATAGTCGTTGAAGGGTTGTCCTCCAAACATTAAAATCGGCGCTGGCTTTCGGCTGACTCATTCTATTTTTAACAGCAGCTACAGCTAGTGTAATTTCCTCTTTACTGGGTCCTATTTTTGTCGCTTTATTTCTACTTCTAGGCATCTCTAAATTAAAAAAAAATTGTTGTACCTATTTGCTTAAGATTATATCCTTGTAAATTAGGTCACGGCTTAAGGTACATACCCCAACCAGGTAGCGATGGTATACCCGCAGAGTGCTTAAAACATCGAGGAGAAGCGTTGTACAGTTTTATATACAAGCTAATTCAAGACACTTGGCGAGAAGAAATAATGCCAGATGAATGGAAAGAAGGAGTTATTGTACCAATACACAAAAAAGGAAACAAAAAGCAATGTATTAACTGCAGGGGAATAACACTCCTAAACACCCCTACAAAATCCTTGCAAACATCCTGCTAGAAAGAACCAAAACATACACAGAAGAAATCGTTAGAGATTATCAATGCGGAGATTATCAATGACAATATAATACAATACAAAAATATACAAAGTTTTCATTCGGAACAATAAATCAAACTCTGTGTCTATTTTTAATTTTAACTTAAATTACTTACCTCTTTGTAAGGGTCTTTCGTAATGCTGTATTTCTTTGTAACGATTATTACATATGTGTAATTGATTGATTTCTTTTTAATTCATTCAAAGTATCTTTCGCAGTGTACGCTCTAATAAAGAAATTTCAAAACTGCGTTTTTTAAACACGTTAAAGGTTCATTATTGCCAAACGTTGTGCGCTTAATCTTAATTCGTTTTTCATTGTCAGGGGCCGATCAAAAGAAAGCTCCATATCGGAATAATGTTGCGTGCTTAAGACCATTAAAAGAAGGTGTTGTATAAAAAATGTCTTCAATAATTTCTATAACCTATAATGACTTAGCAATTAATCACTTTTGTAATTAATCCAACACTCCTACTTGAAAGCCACATAAAAATTGCAGCGTTATTAAGTACTCACTAGGGCGATCCTGGTCGGTTTAATCTTTTCTTTTTTTATTTGAAGGTATATTTATCACTTAACTCTATGTAAGATGTCTAAAGGATGCTGAGCTTTAGAAGATGATCGCACAAAACTTTTTAAAATTTACACGTGGTGCAATTACAATGAATAATTATTCACATGATTATTGTGTTCAGTTTCGCAGCAAGATATGTTTAAAAATTCAATCCCGATTTATGTGCTTAATTGATAAATGCTTTTATTCGACGTACCTTATTGTTGTATGAGAATACATATTTAATAAAACTCTATAAGGAAAATTATTTATATATAATTATAAGTTATATTGAAAATGTGTTGTTTTATGCTTTAAATCATAGTTTGCATAAATCTCAGAATCCAATATTAAAAGATAATATATAAGCAATAATCATAATAAACTATAAGTCAATCTATACTTGAACGGCGTTATGCATCACTAGACCAAGCGCCATTTTCTCAAATTGTAGATTATGGCACTTTCTGGTGGGAAATAGCATAAACTATCTACAAAATAAATCCCATTAGTTTGTTAGTAACGGTTAACCAGATATATTTAAAAAGACCAAGTGCCGTGGAGTTTGGAAACTCATCCTTCCATTGGAAAGAATTACATTACGCTCTTACATCTCTTTCCTGGTCATAGTTTTAACCCAATAAATAGTAATTTTTTAAATATTGAAGGCTTATATACCGTTGACGATTACCTAAACGTGATGAAGAAATCCATAAAAAGAACCACTAGTAGTTCACAGAATGAGAAAAGAAGAATTCGTTGAATAAAGAAGTTGGAAACTATGATTACAAACCGTAAATCAGACATAGAAAACAGTAAGGTAAGCTGGCTTAAAACAAGAGAAATTGAAATAGAAAGGATAAACTACTGAGTATTTTTATGAAAACTGATTTTAACACTAGTGAAGTTGAAGTAGATCTTCACAAGAAACTTAAAAAGGACGGCCCGTTGCAATGCAATCCCTAAGTAACCACTTGATTCCTCTTTGGTCCACAGGCAAGCCACTTTCTGTGCCTAAGCTTAACGAATTAAGATCTTTAATGCGCCTAATACCAAATGATGCAAAACCTCTGTATCGCTCCCTTTTCAGTAACAATACAGTAGAAGATGACATTGACGGATTTGATGGAGACTTAGACTTTGGCATACAAGATGAGTAATGTTTATTTACTATTTTTATAATATTCAGAAAATTGTTAACACTGAGTTCAAGTTTTTTTTTCTATTTTTGATTAATTTCTTAGGTAATATCATAATCATCTTGGTGCTACAGGCCTTAGAGGGCCTCGACCTTCTCAAGCTTTCTACGCCATTCTGTTCATTTCTTGCATTTTCCAGTTGTCGACTCCGATCTTCTCCGCATCTTGTGTTACCCCATCCATCCACCGCAGCTTTGGTCTACCCCGTCTTCTCATTCCCACGGGTTGCGCTGTTAGAATCTTTTTTATCATGTTCGATTCAATGGCCCGGGCTTCTGATCCGGGCAAGTAATATAAAATATTCAAAACAACGACTTTTATTGTCATACTCAAAAAGAAAAAATAGCTTGTGGCCTACTAATCATTCACTAAAAGTGATATTTAAGTTACGCATCACTAGACCAAACGACCTCCATGTCGCTTGGTCTATTGATGTATAACACAATTACACAATGTGGCGAAAATCGTAAGTCGACCAAAAGCCTTTTTATTTTTTTTTTTTTCGTTTTTCTTCAACATTAGCAAGTTACTATTTCGCACTTAGAAAAACATAAAAAACTGTCTTCGAAAACAAAAAATTATGACTATTGTAACATATTAGTGAATTTTAATAAAGTGAAAACTTTGATGTCAAATAACTCAAAATCAATTTTTGGCGCTTGGTCTATGTGATGCATAACGCCGTCCTCTTGTTAGTCTTACTTATTTCTTCAGCATTTGTTTTTGAGGTTGGAGGCCGTTTTAAAAGTAAAATCTTTAATCTAAAGAAGCTATACTATTTTGTTTTATAACTTAATCTTATCTGTATTGTGGATTTTACCATCACTTGGATTTATCAGTATACTTTTTAAACTACAGGACTTAAAAATAGTATATTGGGTATTATTTTGATATGCGTTTCTGAAACAATTTGATGCGTTAAACTTTTAGTTTAACAGTAAGTAGAGGAGAAAACAATGAGTATCTTTGCAGCTGAACATGACTTAATTGTGCTAAACACATTTTACAAACTACCATCTAGACGTCTGTATACGTGGAAATCACCTAGAGACACCGGAGAACACGTTATTATAAGAAACCAAATAGACTATGTACTTGTTAACAAAAGATGTGGAAATAGTTTCAACAGTGTTAAAACCTATCCAGGCACTGATACTCAATTTGACCACAATACTTTAGTGGGCATTAAATTAAAAAAAACAGGCGGAAAAACTGTAAAAAACATGACACGAGAAAACTGAAATGTAGTGAAGTAAACGAAATAGTCAAAGCTAAACAATAAATAGTAAATTCAAAGAAACCGATAATACAACCAAAAGCACAGAAGAAAAGATACAATCCCTTAATAAAACGATAGACGACAATAAAGACCATTTTATGAAGTACGGAGAAGGTAAGAATAAGATATGGATGACGACAGAGATTCTGCAGCTGATGGAAGAAAGAAGGTTAATGACAACGAAGAGGTAATCGTGGACAAAGAGAGTATTGATAATACCTACGGAAACAGGAACACCTATGTTAGTGGCAGATATAAGAGCAGCCATAATATTACTAAAAGAAGGGAGAGCTTCAGGACCAGACGGAGTACAGTCTGTAATTTCTTAAACTTCTTGTTTATGAATCTTTAAGATTACTATGTAAAATATTTAATTATATCTATGACACAGGCAATACATATTCCAAAAGATTAGCTAGTTTCAGAATTTATAACATTGCTAAAGAAACAGAGCGGGTAGCAGGTAGGAACTCTTTAAATTCTTGAAGATAGTCCTATCAGCGAAAATGAATCAATCCCTGCCATCCGCAGATTCCGGGGTTTCCTGACCCGGAAACTAGTACCTGTTTAGGGTCCCTTGTCCAGGGTTACGGATGAAGTCCACAACGGCAGCCACGGCGGAGAAGCAAAACTTCGGTACGGTGCGGATGGCGTAAGTGGCAACCCTCGATTTTAGGGTTGATATAGAATCAAGTCAAATACTGGCCAACGGTTTCGGGCGGAGAAGCTGGTAGATGTAAGGGCACTCTTTTGTCCAGAGATAGAGAAATCTATCTCAGGACAAGAAATGATGCGACTTAAGATCGACATATTGGGAATAAGTGACACAAGATGGCTCGACTCCGGCGAACTAAGTACAACCAATGGTCGACTTTTCTACTCTAGTAGTACCGACAGCCAACATCGGTATGGAGTAGCAATTAATGTCAGTAAAAAAGTTGCAAAATCAGTTGTAGGCTTTATACCAATATCGGAAAGAATTATGCTAATACAATGATGACAACACATGGGAAATTAAACCTTATTCAGATTTATCCGCCAACCGCCGATAAAACAGATGAAGAAATTAAAAAATTTTACGATGACCTTCAAAAAACCCTACAAAATACAACATCTAGAGATATAACAGTAGTCATGGGTGATTTTAACGCCAAAGTTGGAGAAGAAGATGTGAGTCTACTGTAGGACCATATGGACTCGGTGTTCGAAATGAGAGGAGAACGCCTTATAGAATTCTGCCTAGAACATAATCTTGCGGTAATGAATACTTTCTTCAAACTGCCTAAACGACGCCTTTACACTTGGAAATCGCCAGCTGACAAGTCGATAAAATCGTTAGAAACCAAATTGACTATATTTTAATAAACCACAGATACCGAAACGCAATACAATCGGTGAAAGAGTACCCAGGTGCAGACGTAGCGTCGGACCACAATCCTCTTGCAGCAAAATTCCAACTTCGATTTAAAAATCAGAATAACTACAAAAATAAGACTAAAAAAGTGAAATTAATGCAAACCTAGAATCCATACCGGAATCAATTTATGGTGATGTAGAACAACAGTGGCAATTCTTTAAAAATGCAATTATCGAACCAAGTCGCAGAGAACTCACAACAACCAGATGCAAGAAAGGAGATTGGATGACAGAAGAAATCTTGGAAATGATGGAGGACAGAAGAAGGCAAAAAATATCAACATAACTCAGTATCAACAGCTGCATAATCAAATAAGAAGGAAAATAAGAGAAGCTAAAGAGACTTATTTCGCTGGAAAATGCCAAGAAATAGAAGACTTACAAAACAAATATGATAACTTTAATCTCCATAAGAAAGTTAAAGAATTAGCTGGGGTAGCAAAACAAAAAACTCAAGCATACTATTGGACAAACAAGGAAATATTTTAGTGAGACGGAACAAAAATTAGAAGATGGAAAGAATATATAGAGGAATTATTCCATGACCAGAGACAGGAAAATATATATGAAAATAATCAGAGTAAAGACGAAGGACCCGAAATAACAAAGTCAGAAGTTATGCATGCAGTAAAGTCCATGAAAAATAATAAAGCTGCTGGTCCAGATGAAATACCAAGTGAATTGCTAAAACTGGTCAGTGAAAAAACATAGATCTTTTATGTTATCCTATCTTTTATTTTTAAACATTTATTTGCTCTGCTCTACACTGCTAAAAATTATCCATAATAGAATACACGCTAAGCTGGAGATGGATATTAGTGATTCCCAGTTTGGATTTCGGAATGGAGTGGGCACAAGAGAGGCACTATTTTCTTTTAACGTGCTGACCCAAAGATGTTTGGATGTTAATCGAGATCTTTATGTATGCTTTATAGACTACAACAAGGCATTCGATAAAGTAAAACATGACCGACTTATAGAAGTACTCAAAAACAAGAATCTGGATGTGAGGGATGTAACATTGATATCAAATTTATACTACAGCCAACGATCAAATGTGAAAATTGGAAGAGAAGTGTCAGAAGAAGTGGAGATAAGGAGAGGGGTCAGGCAAGGTTGCATACTGTCGCCGTTATTGTTTAATGCTTATTCTGAAGAAATCATACAAGAAGCTTTGGTAAACGAGACAGTCGGCATAAAAGTGAACGGAAGTTTAATTAACAACATTAGGTATGCCGACGATACAGTCATAATAGCCGACAACTTGGAAGACTTAGAAAGAATAATGAACAAAATATTAAGATATAGTGGAGAATACGGACTCTCTCTTAACATCAAAAAAACCAAATTCATGAAAATTAGCAAGAACAACAATACAAATGAAATATTAACGGTAGGCGGCCAGCAGATTGAGAGAGTAAAAAGATATACTTACTTGGGAACGATAATCACAGAAAATAACGATTATACTGCAGAGATAAGAGTCAGAATTGAAAAAGCACGTGCCAACTTCGTGAAAATGAAAAAGATTTTATGCAGCAAAGATCTGACATTGGCCCTCAGAATAAGGCTAATTAAATGCTATGTACACAGTGTACTCTACTATGGAGCTGAATCATGGACATTAAACCGGAATACAATAAATCGACTTAACGCGTTTGAAATGTGGACATTTAGAAGATTGTTAAGGATTCCATGGGTAGATAGAGTCACGAATGCAGAAGTGTTAAGGAGAATAGGCAGAGAGAGGGAAATGGAAAATACAATAAAAGAAAGGAAATTGCAATATCTCGGACATGTAATGAGAGGCGAAAGATTCAACATCTTGAGACTCATAATTCAAGGAAAAATAGAGGGTAGGAGAAGCGTAGGAAGAAGACGCGTTTCCTGGTTGAAGAACCTGAGAGAGTGGTTTGGTTGCAGCTCAAGGCAATTGTTCAGAGCAGCTGCCTCGAAGGTCAGAATAGCCATGATGATTGCCAATCTTCGTCGCGGAGATGGCACTTAAAGAAGAAGAAAGAAACAGGGAGCGAAAAAGTGCAGACAATATAGGCTAATAAGTCTAATGAGCCATACACTAAAACTTTTTCTTAAAATTATACATCGCAGAATATACAAGCTATGCGAAAAGAGAATACAAGACACACAGTTTGGATTCATGAAAGGCGTAGGTACGAGAGATGCACTGTTTAGTCTACAGGTATTATTTCAAAGATGCAGAGATATGACTTGCGATATCTACACCTGCTTTGTGGACTACCAAAAAGCATTTGACACAGTTCAATACCGAAAAATGATGGATGTTCTAACAAAAGCCCAAATAGATGATAAAGACCGGCGTATAATACAAAATTTATACTGGAACCAATTAGCCACAATAAGAACAAATCTTGGAGATAAACCGACGGAAGCGATCCAGATTCTGCGAGGCGTTAGACAAGGATGTATACTTTCACCTATATTATTCAACCTATATTCAGAGGAAATATTTAGTGAAGCTTGGAAAATTGCGAACATGGAATCCTTTTAAATGGAGAACGCCTAAACAACATCCGCTATGCAGATGACACCGTTATTTTTGCAGACAGTTTAAACAGTTTACAGCAACTAATAAACAAAGTAAATGAAGTAAGTGAAAGATTTGGACTACAAGTAACATATCAAAAACTAAATTTATGGTCATCAGCAAAAATAAAATTAGAGACGTCCAACTGCTTATCAAGAATACACCAGTGGACCAAGTAAAACAGTTTACCTATCTTGGAACAATAGTAAACGAACAATGGGATCCCTCACAAGAAGTAAAATTAAGAATAGAGAAGGCTAGGAGTGCATTCAACAACATGACAAAACTCTTTAAAAGCCACAACCTTAATCTGGATATAAAAGTAAGGCTCCTACGATATTATATCTCTCGATATAGTCACAGTATATTGCTTAAGCAATACGGATGTATCGAGTTGAATCCTGTTCACTCACTAACGCGATGGAGAAAAACTTGAAGCCTTCGAGATGTGCTATACAGAAGGATATCATGAGGACAGATAACAACGACTGTATACGAATGGAAGAAGGATGTATACGAGTAAAATAGAAAAAGTTTGAATATCTCGGACACATAATGAGAAACGGCACTAAATACAGATTACTGAAAATAATTCTTCAAGGCAAAGTATTCGGAAAGCGAGGAATTGGAGAAGAAGAATATCATAGTTAAAAACCTGAGGAAATGGTTCTCCACAACAACAACTAATCTATTTAAAGCATCAGTTAATAAAATAATTATAGCCAGAATGATCGCCAATATTCGAAATGGATAAGCACCAAAAGACGAAGAAAATTTTAGTTTGACATAATATATATTTAAAATAAATAATTCAGTAGTTTAAAAATTAGAAAAATATATGGAAACACTCATTTTTGTGTAGGTGTGTGTCTTTTATTTTTATTTTATTTTGTCCAAATAGGTATTTGTTATAGTTTTCTTCAGTACTAAGTGATAAGAGGAGAAATAATTATTTTTATTTTACGAAGTTTTTTAATAACCTTATAACTTTATGTAATTCATGCTTTTTCTTTCAGGATTACGGCTGCCATCGCTTTCGTGAATTTTTGCAGTACACAAAAACTGGATGAATCTGCAAAGAAAGAAAGAAAGTTTCAGAAATACCCTCTGCAAGTAAGATATACGTTAGATTTTAACATTAAATTTAAAATAAAATATAAAAGTAGAACTATTAAAACTAATATGGTAACTATATATGGAAACTA